CAAAAAGAAAGATTGACTACAAGGATTGCGAGAAAAATTATTTCCCTTTTCTAAATTTTATTTAACCAAAAAATGACCAAATAACAATAGGACTCTCCATGCCTTAAATAGACAGAACAAAATAAAATGAAAATAAACTAAAAGGTCTTAAACTATGGAATAAACCTAAAAAGTCCAAAATGACATACGCAAGCACACATGAATATTTCTCTACCAATCTTTGGTGCATCATCTTGTCACACAAAAAATTAATTTTAAATTATTTTAAAAATGTATTTCACTTAAAATAATTGTCCACATAAAATTCAGTGTAAACCAATATTGTTATCTTTTAAAAAATAAGTATCATTACTTTGGGTGTTCTAAAATTTTGACAAAATTATTTTCAATAATCATATTTTGAAGGGGATCATATCACCATTGTACTTATTTTTCTTTTGGTGTAAGGTTTTTAAAATCATTTATTTAACTATAAGCGTGGCTAGTTTAGCCCATAATGTTACTACGGTGGACCATGTAAAAACCTAAAGTGGTATCTCATATGTAAAGTAACGAAAGTGGGGTTTTTGACCCTTTTGCCCCTAATTAAATAATTAATAACCAATTTTCCCCTCCCCCAGAACTATCCACCATCCTGCCCCCATTTAGTCGATTATGTTGCACTTGTAATCGACTAAATGGGCTAAACTCAGAAATTATGAAACGCGAATTTTAGTCGACTAAAAACTCACCTTAATCGACTAAATTGTTTGCACTTTTAGTCGACTAAGCACATTATTTAGTCGACTAAAGATCGCGAAAAACCCTATATCCAGACCTCTCTTGGGCTCATTTTCAAAATATTCGAAATCAAAACTTCTCTCTTGGTCTCTTTCTCTTGTTTGTCAGCTGGGAACCTTCCAATCACCCTTCCATTTCATCCCACCACCTCTAAGACATAGTAATTGTGAAATCATTGTCATTTTCCTTTATTTCTCAATTGTTTCCCCCAAATCCGAACCCTAACCCCTAAAATCTGATTCCTACCCCCAAAATTCGTGTGAAAGATGAGCTCAAGTCCAAACATGTATGTTACCATGATTTACTATGATGGAAAGCATTATGAAGGCCCCAACGGTGTTCAATTTGAAGGAAAAACGAAAATGTTGAAAATCAAACGGGACACTACGTACAATGAGCTGAAGGGGAGGATTAACCAAAAATTGGGGCTACACGGGAGCCATGGCGTTCAACGGATGATCTCCAGGGTAGAGTCTACAGTTGGTAAGGATGCTATATTCTACATTGGTAATGATATATGTGACGATGAAGATGTGGATTGTGTCATAGATGCAATTGTGGACCGAAAATTTCAAAACTTTATTGAGATATATGTTGAAATAGACTGTGGTCAATCTTCATCTGCACCTGTGCATGGAAGAAGTCAAAGTCAAGAAGACAGAGTGGTCGGTTTATCTGCACCTGCACCTGTCTTAAGTCAGATACCACTGAGCCATTTTGGAACGACAGCCCACACTATTCGTTCATTAATTGGGCTCACCCTAATGATGAGACAGAGATATTGTATGGCGACGATGACATCCACGGTGGCTGGCATTTAGGAGATCCATTATATTTGTACCAGGAGTTTCGAACTAAATCTGAAATGCAACATGCTGTCAAATTATATTGTATGAAGTCTCATCGTACTGTTGTGGTGGCAAAAAGTGATGACCATAGATTTGTGATGAAGCCTATCTTCAACACCCTTGAACCGTCCCTGTATATGTCTAAATCTTTCATTTTCCTTCTGCACGTGACTCTTCCTCCATTTTTTGTGTTTCAGCGCCATTTTTCCTATTTTCTTCAGCGTGGCATTTATGCCCTTCATGACATCACGTAATGAAAACCCACCCTCAGGCTCAGCTATCTCCATCTGGTCACCTTCATCATCATCGTCATCATCAGAAATAAAACAGAAACAGAAACCCAATCCCTAACCCTAAAACAGAAACCCTAACCCTCAACCCTAACCCTAACCCTTACCCTACACCCTAAAACAGAACACAAAAACCCATTCCTAACCCTAAACATTACAACCCAAACAAAACAGCAACGTAAACGCTAACCCTAACCCTAACCCTAACCTTAACCCTAACATAACCCTAACCCTAAGCCTAAGGCACCACATCAACCCTAACCCTCACCCTCACAACAAACTTAGCACCCTACCCCTAACCTAAATCCACAAAACCGCAAACATAAATCAAATGCATGAAGAAAAAAAAAAAAAAAACTAAACTTAAAACCAAATGCAAGTCAGAATACGTTACCTAAATGTTGATTTCGCAAGTGTGAACCAAGGAAGCTTCAATCGCACCTTCAAGGGTTGAGATTCAGACTTGGTTGGAGAGAGGGGACGGAATGCAGCCTTTTAGTTGATTAGGGTTTGAAAATAACCCCCTTTGCGAAATGGGGTTTTTTTTTAAAAACCTGATCTGCGACATTTAGTCGACTAAATAATGTGCTTAGTCGACTAAAAGTGCAAACAATTTAGTCGATTAAGGTGAGTTTTTAGTCGACTAAAATTCGCGTTTCATAATTTCTGAGTTTAGCCCATTTAGTCGATTAAAAGTGCAACATAATCGACTAAATGGGGGCAGGATGGTGGATAGTTCTGGGGGAGGGGCAAATTGGTTATTAATTATTTAATTAGGGGCAAAAGGGTCAAAAACCCAACGAAAGTGAGTTAAGGTTATTATTGTTGAAAATGAATTAAGTGAAAGATGATATATGTAAAAGGATCACAAATACATACATATATACACACACATATATATATATGGGAATGATCCGTTTACAAATCTTTTTTACAAATTTTTGCAAGTTAGTCAATCATTAATTCTCAATGAATTATAACCGTTAGATTAACGAAAATCAACGGTTAAGATTTGGTGTCAAATGATCATATCCTTATATATATATAGGGAAAAACATTTCTCAAGCAGCTTGAGATAAGTTTATCTCCGACTACTCCAAAACTACGTCGTTTTATTTATTTATTTCTTTATATTAATTGATTTACCTTTGAATGGTTATGATTCTCTTTTTCTCTCTCTTCCTTTATCATCATTGATCCATCTTTGTATGGTTATGATTTACTAGCCGGAGATAAGATTATCTCAAACAGCTTGAAAAACGATAAGCCCATATATATATATATGTGTGTGTGTGTGTGTGTGGGTAAAATATGAATTATGTTATAGGAAAACATAAACATTTCATGTTGACACATAAAATCAATGGACCCACATGTTTATTTTTTTTTAAAAAAAAAGGAAAAAGAAAGCACAAACATCAATGTATCAGCAGGACAAGTTTTTGGTTTTCCTATAACAGGACCAACATTTAACCTATATATATATATATATATATATATATATATATATATATATATATATATATATATATATAACTTATAAGTGTCCAAGACATTATGTTTTTATTGTTAAATATAGTTCAAATAATAATTAAAATATAATGTTAATTAATAAAATATTAAAAGATAGTAAATTGCCAACAAATAGATAAGTTCCTAATCTTTGTTGTTGTTTCAGGTTGTTTCCTACTAGAATAACAAAGTACTAACCTGATAACGATGAGAAGCCGGATGCAATCTGAAGGATATCAAGCGAAAATAAAGAAATATTAATTAGTTGGCCACGCTCGCTATACTTCTCGCACCAGCGAGCAAGTAAGCGAGCAGCATTATGAAGCTCGCTCCACTTCTCGATTCAGCGAGCAAGTGAGCGAGGAGAAGAAAAACTCTCGCTGAGCAGCTCGCTTCAGCGAGCTGGTCCAGAATTCGAAGCCTAAATTTTCTCTTTAAATACAACGCGAAGAAGAAAGAAGTCAGAGACGAATCGAAAGCCGTGGCGGAAGAGGAACACTGGCAGAGGGGAAGGAAGGAAGAAATCTGCATCATTGATCGTTTCCATTAATCAAGTTTCATCATGAACTTTATTTATTTTCCAGTATCTTTTAATTCTGTTTTTATAATTATGCATAGCTAAATTCCTTTTAGTAGTTAGGATGAGACAAAACCAGTGGGTTCTTAATTGATGTATGCCTTTCTTATGAATTACATTCTTGATTTTAAATGATGCAATCAATTTGTTTCTTATTTATTAGCTTTATTTATGACTTGATCACTCGTAGATAAACATATGAGTCGTGCATGACAATAGGGATGTTGGTCTATGATTCTGATTAGTTGATTGCTGAAATTTGTATGATCTAGGGATAAACTTATGAATTCTATAACCGTAGGTTCTTGCGATAATGCTTATTTTATGAAAAAGTACTAAGGGATTAGGCTTTTGATTAGGGTAAAGGATAAGATTACCAAGGGATTGGAATTTAATCAATCATAGAAAGAACTGTTAATAATTTGATCTTGAATGTAATCGTAAGAATAGGCAAACTCGTTAAGAAATCATTGGGGAAGTTGAATCATAGCTACGCCTTTTTAGTAAAAACTCAAAATCAATTTCTAGCGTTTTAAATTCTGAATTTAATTTCTTGAATATTAAAAACAAAAAATAAGTAGTTAAAATTGTGTTTTAATATAATTAAAATATTCTCCAAGAAACTCGTTCACGATCGATCCAACTTTAATTAAATAGATAAATTAGTGCTTGGTCATCAGTCCTCGAGGGATCGACAACTTTATTTTACCACTTTATTACTTGTACGACCGGTGCACTTGCCGGAGTCGCAACAATAACATGGTATTTTTTGTTTTCTCATAACTTTGTAATTAAATTATATTTAAGGATAACATACTGTGAACGCAAAACACATGTGCATGAGAAGAAATATTAGAAATAAAACTTCATGCGTACACACACATACGATCACAATGACAACTATATGCTGAACATATTTCATATGTGCTCACAACTTCAATTTGAGAATATCGATCTTTTATCCTTTTGGAATTATATTCTTGGACGGTTATATTAGGATTGCAATTCTTCTTCAATCTTGGGACCCTTGTTGAAGAAATTTTTACGAAACTCTCCATATGTCATGGATTTGTATACTGGTGGAGTGCTTCCATTGACCAAGTCTTGTGCAGGTTCTATGATGCTTTCCAGTGATGGATAGATGAAATAAGCAACAGTTGTGCGTGCAGTGCTTGAATTTGTCACAACCCGGTGTTCAGCACCAACAAACCTTCCATTACTTATTATCTGTAAGAATCATAGAGCAACGCTATAAAAGCTTGTCATCTTAATTTGAGCAAAACCATATCATATGCATGCATGTCGTTATAATATTTTATCATTATATTCATTATATATTGTAATATAAATTCGGTTTTTAAGTTGGTCCGAATTTAACAACATTAATAATAATATGGCAATAATAGTGTGTTTTAAGAGTAGATTATCAAGTGGAACGGTAGGACTTTGTAGCAATTTTAATTACCCTCTCTTTTTTTATCAAAGTAAATGATAGAATTTTCGTACACATTAAAAACAGAATTTGGGTGAAAGAAACATTAAAAACTTTAATATTGTCATACGTAAGCCGTATTTATGTTACTTACAATCATTACTTTAAATAGATTAAAAAAATAAAATAATTGACATTATTTGTGATTTGAACATTTATTAAAAAGTAATACAACTTACGTGGATGGCACAATATGATTAAGTTACCATTATGCATGATACATTGCGTTACGATTTAAGTTTCTTTTAAAGAATAACGAATAATATACAAAAAGGCTTTAGTTTGAAAATTTTACCTGCAAGAGTAGACCGATGTTAACCACAAAAGCGTTGGGAATGGGTTCAACTCCAATCCATTCACCATCTTTAAGGACTTGAAGTCCTTGTACATGTTCCTCTTGAAGCAGAATGGTGATAATTGTAGGGTCACGGTGCTTGGCTAAGCCCAAAGTTAAACTTGGGTCAGGGCAAGGAGGGTAGTGATGAACTAGCACTGCTGGATTTTCACTAAGTCCACCACAAAAATATCCTGGGGTAAGCCCTAAACCTTCACAAATCAGCTCCAAAAATTTCAGTCCCAATTTCCTCAATTCTCGTGTATATTTTTCAACAATCTCACTGAAAAATTACAAAAATAAAGTTAGTAAACTTGTAAAGAACCTTGAGATACATCACCCCAAAAGCTAGCTCAAAGGGTGAGAGTGTTCAAAGCCTTATAAAGGCCATATTAGTTGTCCATCCAATCAATGTGGGACTATATATCTCAACACGTCCCTTCACGCAAGAGCCCTTTAGGCTAGAAACGTAGAAATTGCACAGGCCCATTTCTGGTTTACCTTTTTGTGCTTTTTTTTATATTTTAATTCTACTTTTTAAAGTGGGAGACAATGAGGCTCTGATACCATATAAAAAACCTTAGAATACACCACTCCAAAAGCTAGTCAACGTAATTCCATTTTTTGTGACGATATATAATAGGTAAGGGCCGGCTACAAAGAAAGTAAATGTTCTATGCCCTTTAAATATATATTTATTTCTTGATCACATCAATTTATTGGTCATTTCAATGTCATCCACTCAAGTTGTGTGATGATGCAATCACTTGTTAATTAGTTTTAAACGCAACTGAATAAACTACAAAGCTTACAAATCAAATCACTTTCATTAGTCAAATATTCAAATTAAAATTGATTTTTTAGACCAATAATAATTAGTTCTAACTTCTAAGTGAGAATGAGTCTATTTCTTTAAATAAATATCTAATCTCGAGATCAACGGACTGGGAAAAACATGAAAAACTTGAAGAATCAAAATTGATCTCTAAGACTGCACAATATTACAAATTATGAAAGAAGGGCTAACAAAACCTAGAAACTATTTCAATTCCAACCCATAAAAGAGAGTAGAAAGCTATATCGAAGTAAAATTATGAAAATAAACTTTACCGGTATTTGGTTGGTTTCTGAGGCCAATAGTGCATGTTCTCTCCCGAGGGAGGACAAGGGTGTATTAGTGTGTCCTTCCAATAATGAACCGTATCTCTTTGGTAATTCTCACTACTTGTATAAAGCTTGCACCTTCCATTTGGGTCCTTAGAGCATTCATTTACCTTTTCCTTTGGAGGCATGGCATGGAATTCTTTATAAATGTTCAGCGTTTCGTCCATTAACTCCTTGGAAACTCCATGGTTTATCACCTATTTCGCAAGTTTTTGTATTAGTCAATCAAGTGTATAATACTTTACCCTAAGAAAATGAGCACGTCCTTGTATTTTTAGTCAATCAGTTGTATATACTTTAGCCTAAGAAAACTCCATGGTTACCGAAAACTAAGTCAATCAAAAAAATGATTCACCATATTTTTAGATTATCTTCATTAATAATTGCCCGTTATGGTGATAACCATATGTTATTGAAGGGTGAGCCTTCATGTTCTATAGTTTTTAAGCTATAAAATCAAAATCAAGTAACAATGGTGTAAAGAATTATTTTAAACCAAAAACTTAAGCCAATAAACTAGGGTTTTTAATTATTTTATATTATATCTCTCTAACAAATGAGGAGAGGTGTATTTCATGTATTGCTATTTAGATTTATAAGCATGATCATTGTATTATTTAAGTTTTATCTATCACAAAGCCATGTAAATGCATGGGACAGAGAAATATAAAGTAAAAGAAGAGAAAATATAGAGACATAGGTAAAAGAAAGTTGTTGTGAATTTGAAACCTGGAAAAAGCCATATTCCTCGGAGGCTTTGAAGATGTGTTTTGTGGTATCACTACGATCATGTCCTCCAAGATCAATCACTGGAATTGTCTTAGATGAAGTGCTAATGACCTTGCCAGGCCTGCTTTCAGGTGGTTGCACATAGGATGGAGGCACCGAGGAATGAACATTAAACCAGCTTGACACAAGCATCTCATCCAAGTTCTCCATGTTTATTCTCTAGAACTTAAGAATCACAATGTCTTCTAGAGAAAAATTTGAGTTCCCCATGCTGCTCACCTCTTCTTATATAGTTAACATGAATATATGTGGGACAAGTGGTGGAGCGAGGGAGGGGTTAGTGTTTGTTTCTCTTCAAATTCATACAATCCTTTGGTTTTGAGCAATCTTATTAAACTCGGAAAACAATTATCAACTCAATTGATATATTGGGGTTAATGGGCCACTGATTCAATCAGTAGATTACAAATTGATATATATATATATATATATATATATATATATATATATATATATATATATATATATATATATATATATATATGGGGAGGGTTTTTTTGACTCCAGAGTAAGACTTTTAAGTCTTACTCCCCATCTCAGTCGTTGATGGACGGAAATCAATGGTTGTCATTTATAGTGTAATTAATAATTAATTAATAAGTATAACTTCCTAAACTATAACCGTTGGATGGACGGAAATCAACGGCTAGGATGAGGAGTAAGACTTATAAATCTTAATCTGGAGTCAAATGATCTTTCTCCTATATATATATATGGGGAAGGATTTATAAATTTTTACAAATTACACTATATACTCTCGGAAGTACATAGTATAACCTAGTGTACTTCCGAGAGTATAAAGTGTATTTTCTAAGAGTTTGTAAACAAAAAGTTTGTAAATATAACCTTCCCCTATATATATATACATATATAAATATATGGGTCAGGATCATTTTACACTAGTGTAAGTTACACTCTTAATCTTGTCCGTTAATCCCACTTAAATCTAAGGGCTCAAATTTTTTAGTAATGTGAGCCATTAGATACAAGTGGATCAATGGTCAAGATTGAGTGTAAGATTTCTAACTCTTACACCGGTGTAAGAATATCCTGCCCCTAAATATATATATATATATATATATATATATATATATATATATATATATATTATATATGGGGAATGATCTGTTTACAAACTTTTTTAAAATTATTTTATAAATTACATTATCTTCTCCTGGGAGAACATAGTGAATTTAGTCTTCTCCAGGGAGAAGATAGTATAGTTTGTAAACAAAAAAGTTTGTAAATATAACCTGCCCCTCTATATATATAGGGGAATAATCCGTTTACGATTTTTTTTTGCAAATTACACTAAGTCTGGTCAGTCATACACTCTTAATTGAAGTATGACTGGTCAGACATAATATAATTTGTAAGAGTTTGTAAACAAAAAATTTATAAATATAATATTCATCATATATATATATATATATATATATATATATATATATATATATATATATATATATATATATATATATAACCTAAATGATTTGGCTTAGTAATTAGCATTTCACTTTTGCAAATAGATAATTTACAACCTAAATATATTGTTTTGGGTCAAATAGATAATTATAATTTACAAAGAAGAATATGTGGCATAATTTTTCTCCCCTATGAATTTTTTTTTTAATATTATTCATCGATTTATCGATTACTTAACTAGTCTGATCTGTTGCGTTATTATGTGATACATGATGATGTGAACCACGCAAATTTTTTTTTTTTGGTCACAAATTACAATGAGAAAAGGTTATTACGTTACAAGGTTAAAGCATATTATAAGTCTGATTGTTAACTTATAGCAATATATTTGGATGACTTACAATATTGTTCAATGCTAGCTGAGTCAATCACTATTGGAGATATTGCAATTATTTGTCTTTGTGAAAGAACATTATTAATCATGTTATTTCTTAATTCTTAAATTAACTTGGAGATAATTAGCACCAAAAATGATTAACTTAGAGAAGATAAATTTTATTTAATCAAGTTTGGTCGGTGCAGTTTTTCACTGAATAAGATGATTCCCTATTTATCAGCTGATTTGTTGCCAAATGCAGAGCTTACAACATTTATTTATTTATTTTGTATGTATATGGAGCCCAGCAATCTAGAAGAAAATGGTGCTAAAGTCGCAAAGTAATTTTTCAGAACAGACAAGTCAATCCTAAATGAGCATTCTTTCTTCTTTATTGAGTTCATTGTTGACAAATCAAACGTAATTAGGAGAAAAAGTCAGATTAGTGGAATAATATCACATGATGACTCATGTTTAAAGATAACACTTAATTAATTAACAGCATTGAGCTCATAGTATGTTAAGTAACTCATTCATGAATGTAGATATATATGCTTTTTTAAGTATGCCGTAGCAGAAGAATAGTTCATTTTCTTAAAGCTAATTTCAATTGACAATCCGTAACCTTTTCTGACCAGCCACGTATATAAATTGCATCTATCATGCAAAAGAAAAGAAAAGTAGATTGAAATTAGATTTTTATGTGGCTTGTCAGAAAAGGTTAAGGATAAATTGCATGATAGATTGAAATTATATTCTTTCAATTTTATTTTTCATCCCCTATTAGTGACATGATATTCATTTAAAACGACATGTAAACTTTTTTATAGACAAAGAAAAGTAGATTTTTCTTGATCTTGTGGGAGAAGATGCATGTGATGAACCTAATTATGGTCTAATCTTGAAATGTACCGAAACCTAACGAGTTGCATGAAAACGAACTTCCAAACAATATATATATACATCATGTGGGATGTGATCCAAATTTTTTATTTTTTTTTTATTTTTTTGCATTTGGGGCTCATTTCAATGGATTTTTATGATTGCTTTTTATTTACAGTGGTGATTTTTGTAATTATGTACTTTTCATTTCAATTTTTTTTTTAAGGTTCATTTTAGATCAATTTTAGTTATTGTTAAATTTTGAATGTTGTTTTTAAGAACCAGGATTCTCTCCTATCCCATCTTCAAATTTTCTATTTAGCCTCTTTTAACATTTTTCAGTTTAGCCTCTTTTAACATTTTTCAGTTTAGCCTCATATCTCATCCCAACAATTATTAGTTCAAGGAGGAGGAAGTCTATTTCTCTTAATTAGAGGTTTCGAGTTATCAAAAGGGGTTGATTTCAGTAGTACATATTTGATTCTATTTAAATAAGATCTTAGGTTCAAGTCCTTGTGAATGCAAAATATTCTCTTTGAGAGAGCTAGCCCCACAATGATGTTAATGTTCTCAGTTCGAATAGGATTTCTTTCCGTGAAAATATCTATGGTTTATCAACAAACAAAAAAAAATTCAAGTTCAAGTGAATACAAAAAATAATTTTGGAAGAGCCACCTCTGTGAATTAGTGTTCAAATCAGATTAACCAGGTAATCAAAGAACCGGAGATATATACATTCATCTATTTATGTTGCATGTTAAAAAAAAAAACAATCAAGTGGCATATAATTTAGCCTGCTTAAGTTGTTTTCAAATATTATGTACTTAATTAATGTATTGAGATTTTTTTTCACGTTTTTTAAATAAATAAAAAGCTGATTGATTTATTTTATTTTATTTTTGGTACATCAAAGGGGCTACAGCCCCAAAACAAAACAGAAGGAAAGGAAAACTAAGACAAAACAGCAAAAAACCAGCAAAAAATAAAGAAAGATAACAGTAAACTAAAACAGTCCCAGGTCTTTTCCAGGATCCAAAATATCTGCTGCCAGCAAAGGAAGCAGTCTCTGGTAAGGGGAAGCATAGACAGTGAGTCCAAAACAGTTGTTGAGAGAAAGCTGATTGATTTTCACTTTGTTTGAATATTTAACTTCGTATTTTTGGACATATAATTAATATCTTTGTTTATTAACCAGGCTGTGGATTTGTTTCCCAAGGATGTAGAAAATAAAAAATTGAAGTAATTACTTTGTCTTATTAGTTCAAATAATTAATAAGAGTTGAGAACATATACAATGAGAATAATGAAGTTCAATTTTCATAGACACTCTACATCTCACTCTTCTCTTTCTCCTATTCCTCACTCTCTTTTGTCGACTCCATTAGGGACCAATATCCCTACAAATGGGTAGTAATAGTTCAACTAACTAATAAAATACAAATAATTACAACTTTCATCATAAAAGTGGAAATAATTTCATTGATCCTGTATTAGTGATATTTTTCAAAACTTTCTTACACTAATGATGTACACTTGATAAAATAAAATAATAATAGCAAATAAATCTGTTGCTTTCCACTTGTGTCATTCACTAGTATATAATTATGATCATGTGCCCAGAGACGTAGCCACGTAGTCCCTAGATGGGGCCTGGGGCCTACTGACTTTTTTTTAAAAAAATTATTATATATAATTATATAATTAATTATTATTTGGCCTCTTCTATAGTTAAAATTTGGCTTCATCTATGCTCTTTGTCTCTCAGCTAATAGCCTAATACACTCTTAGTGGAGTTGGAAACCCCAGCGGTGTCTTCGTGTCTGCTCGCATTTCTCTCAAAGTTAGAAACCCCAATGGTATTGCTCTTAAATTGGTGCTTTTTTATTCTGAAATTTTTTCTAGTTTTCTGGTGATTGATTTTATTTTGTGAAGATATGCTATTTAGAATGGAGTGCCTTTGAGTGTTTTGTTCTTTAATGTTTCCTTAAATATTTGAATCTGAATCATCTTTATATACTTTCTCTTGACAAATTATGAAGTTATGCAAGCAATTACTTAATACTTATACGATACAGCCTGCAGTTGTATAAATTAATTCATGATAACTTAGTGACTTACAACACCTTTATTTTAATATCAAGCAAAAGTTAAAAAATGTAAATTGTAAAGATATATGCAACTTGGTGTAATGGTATTGGTTTATGATTCTCAAAGACCAGTGTAGGGGTCCCTCATATATGAAATAAATAAATAATAACTTTCATTTCAAACATACCCAAATGAATCCCACTAAAAAAATCATGCCAAACACTCTTAATTGTTTTTGGTAACTTTTTGTATATAGATTAATGTAAAGCTGCTAAATTTCCTATTTTAGAATCTTCTTGCTTCCTTTTGTTGGAAATCGACAATCACACAGAATCGAGAAAACAAAAAAAGAGATAAGAGTAGAGAGATTAGACACAACGATTTACCCTGGTTCACCCAATATAGGCTACGTCCAGCTTGTCTGTACTATATTCACCTCACCGCCACTCTTTACAAGTCTCTCGGTTTACAAGGCAAATATAAATAGGATTACAAAACCCTAACAACAGCTATTCATGGGCTCAAGCCCAAACTGCTAAGAAAATTACAATAAAACAGAGGCCCAGTTGCCTTTCTGCTGACCCCGATAATTAGGGCCCTCATCAGTATGCGAAGTATGAGCCATACCCAACACCTTTTATGCTAATTTGTATATAACACTAGCATGAAACATTGAAACTTTTTTTAAAGTACAGCTGCAACTGATTTTATGATGTTGAGAAGACACCTCGATCTACATACATTATTTAGATTATTATTTCTTTTGATAAATCTTAAGCTATTTTTTTTCTTGGGCTTTAATTGTTCTACACCTTCTCTTCTGCAAATAGTAATTCGAATTCAAAGAGTAGGTCAGGTTTAACTAAAATTGTTTGGGTTGCTTCTGGTGCAGTGTTTGTTGGGAAATAAACACCAATTTCCCCTTCCAAGACCTGTTTAGAATGGTTTCCAACAAGCAAAATATATATTCTAATGACAACTATGCATGAACCAAAAACACCAAGCAACACAAGTCAATTTTAACGTGGAAAACCTCCTCAATGTGAGGAGTAAAAACCACGGGACCAATTTCGGAGTCCATCCAAATTCTCCACTATCAACAAAGTGAAATTACAAAAGGTTCCAAAGCAATTACAATCAGCTATAGCACCATCAAAACAACTTCACAACTAGTTGTACCAAAAATGCAAGAGACATACATATATGACCAAGCTTTTGTCCGAAATTAATCTAAAATAACAGAAGCGTCTACTCCCAAATTCCAAAATCGCAACGGTCAGATTAAAGAACAACATGAGAGGAACACATTGACCAATTTTGAGGACAATCGCACGGTTGACCAAAGAGAAACCTCTCTCTGAACTTCACTGCCCAGAACAGAGCAGAAAAATGATGGCCTCTGTTTGGAGTTGAATAATTCCTTCTTGACAGCTCCAATCGCAAAACTGAACGGTCAAACTCTAGTATAGTATGTTATAAACCTTGTACCAAAATTTCAGCTCATATCAACGGTTCATTTGGGAGAGATGAATCTCGCAACCTTCTGCCTTCTGCAGAACTCTACACACAGACCACATCAGTTTGCAATTTTCTGCTGCTGATGCAGACCTCCGATCAAGATTCTGACCAGTAGAAAAGAAGAGGCATGAGTTGGGAAGGTGCTAAAAAAATTTCAGCTCAATCGGACCACAAAAGAATGCTCCCACTCTTCACCTGCGAATTTCCTGGTTTTGGTGGCGGGTTTCTCCCTTCTTTCTTCTCTTCAGAAATGCTCTCCTCTCACACTCAAATGGCAGATGAGCATACTACACAAAGAAACCCTAGGTGTGCATTCCTTATTGGCTGATCATTTGGCCTTTTAATTGGTAAAGGCTTAACAATGTTGACATTATTTAGTAAATAATTTAGATAAGTATGTTAGAATTCATAGTAAATTTTTTTTCTAATAGATTTATGTAATTACGATAAATGTTTTAATAATTTGATGTGTCAAATTTTTTGGCCCCAACTAAAATGAAATCTTGGCTCCGCCACTGCATGTGCCTTTCCCTATTTTAATTAATATTATATGGGTTTGCTTTTTCTGCACTGTAAGCCCAATACAACGTTGTTTTAGGGTGAAAATCATGATTTTTTTTGTAATTTTAGTTTATTTCAGGATTATTATAGTCTTTATAATTATAATTTTCTAATCTTTCAATCACAAAATAATGTCGTTTTAGAAATAAATTCAGATAATTTATCTGTATTAACTGCAAATTTTTTTCTGATATTATATTGCCCTCACTTCTGTTTTTTTCCTAGACTGAATTGTCCTAATCGAATATCCATAATATAAGCTTTTCATAATTATCATCTATGCCCAGCCTAGTCAATAACGACGTCGCCAGCAGCATATTCGTTCATGCATCTTTTCTTTTTTTAAAAAAAAAATTTGTACAGTAAATTTCTAAAATGAATCACTTCAAATTTCTTCTGATTGATAGCTTTAGCATGTGGTCTAATATATTCGTTTCTTACAATTTTTGTTTTTTTAATTGGTAATTCACTAATTTAAGTTTTGGTGCTGTGATAAATAAATATTATTAGGTCTAATTCTTTATAAAAACAAGAATTAATACCTTAATGAATAAAATATATATAGACTAAAATTCAAATGAATAAAAAATAAGAGTTCCACAAGAAGAAAATAATATACGTAGATTAAAGTTAGTAGTTGAAAACTTAATTTCTTTGAATTTGTGTCAAAATTTTCATTTAATTATAAAACTTATAGAAGAGAGAAAACGCCCTACTCTTTTCATACCCTACCCTCTCCTTAATTTAATCTAGTTAAATTAAGCAAATATAATATAATAATGTCTACTTGATTTCTTTGAGTTTTATCCAAGGTTATAAAAATCGGACCGATCCATCCGGATCGATTTGGAAATCGGTGAACTGGTCATGTAACCGATCCGATTTTCATATTGGACCGGCTATGTTACAGAACCGGCGTGACTCGGTGCGATCCTGCCGATTTTCGTAAAAATTAGTGACCTGGTCGATTCAACCGGTGACTCGGCCCAGTCTATAAAAAAAATTAATTTATTTTCATAAATTAATGTCTTCTTCTTTTTTACTCTCAAACACAAATGATTTGTTTTTCTTTTTTTGAATATTTGAGTGATTTGTAGCTTATTAACTTACATAGATTATGTACCTACAACACTAATATTATCTTGATTATGCAATATACAGTGAATTTTAATTTGATTTATAGTTAGAGATGTCGTTTAGTGAACCTGAAACACTAGTATCATAAATATTATATGTTTGATTGATCTTTTGTTGGACAATGATGTGTACTTTATTATTTTCATATTAAAATATTTGAAATTTATAGTTTTTTTAATATAAACTTTAGATTTACATATACTTACTGAGTCATGATATTGAACCAATGACCCACTGATTGAACCAGTGACCCAGTACTTCGACCAAATTAATAACCGAACCCGATTTTAATAACATTGATTTTATCTCTTCACGCGATGTCTAGTGACAAATTGCCAATTGAGGTTACTGCTGTTATGATTATACTTTTTGTTAAATCTCAGAGTTTCTCACATCTAAACAATTAATGGGATAAGATATTATGCTTACTCTATCTACTTATTCATGAAAAAAAAATAAACATAATATTTATTTTATAAATAATGAGTTTGATGTTTGTAATTTTAAATGACATAAGTTATGTTATTTTAAATGACATAAGTTATGTCATTTTAAGAAAGAGATAAACACAAAAAATAAAAATTATGAAAGAGAAAAAGTGGATGGTTTTTTTTTTTGAATTTAAATTTTAAATTAAAAAAATTATTTATCTCTATCTCTCTCTTAAAATGACATAATTTTATGTCATTTAAAATGACAAACACTTTTCTAGTAAATAATTGTCTAAATTTTTTTACAGCGAAGCAATTTATTGGACACGTATTTCTTCGGTTATGAAATATAGGCTATGCGCCTATGCCCATATCTTAGTAAAGAAAAATAAAAATAAAAATTACATTTCAAAATTAAGTGGCCCATGCAGGTTTCGAACCTGCGACCTTCGCGTTATTAGCACGACGCTCTAACCAACTGAGCTAATAGGCCAGTTGATAAAATTCGTCTATATACATTATATATAGTGGTATAACATGACGTGATTATTAACCACACGTTAAGCACAGAACGGAGTGAATAGAAGAAGGAAGAGAATGGATAATATTACAGCAAGCGAAGCAGCTGGTTTAGGAGTGGGTGCTCTGCTACTTTGTGCCACCATTTCTGCCCCAAAAATCGATGCTTTTTTCTCTTCTTCTCAGCGCAGGTTATACCCTTATCAAATTTCTCTTTCTCTGTGTTTGTGTGTGTGTTTTCTTATTTTTTTATTTTTATTTTTTTCCCTTAATTCATTTTAAGTCTTGTGACCATGAAACCCCATTAAACTTTCTTTGTTAGTATGTGTTTGTTTGGCACTCTTTTTAACTAACCCATGTTTTAACTTTTCTAAGCTGTTATATAAGTTCATGATGTTAATGTCTATGTCATTCTAAGACTGATTTATTTATGAGTTCGCTTTTTCTGGAGCAAGCCCAATATGATTTGGGACGGAAATCATGGTGTTTTTGTAATTTAAATTTACGTCAGGGTTATAATAGTCTCTATATTTATAATTTTTTAAAATTTCAATACCAAAACGACGTCGTTTTGAAAATAAATGCAGATAACTCATATGCAGTAACTGCAAGAAACATTTTTTCCTTTATTTATTTATTTATTTGCTATAATTACTCAACTCATTATCTATGAATTTTGATACCCCTGAAGTCTGAACATCTTTTTGGGCTTACTAGGTAACTGAGATGTGTTATATTAGTAAAAGGGTATCTTTGATATTTATGAGCCATGTGGTTTTTGGCTAACGTTCTGAAATTCAGTTTCTGCACTTAGTTCTAACTTGGGATTTCAACTTTTATTTTTTATTTAATCTGTGGTCTGTGGTTTGGAATGCTGTGGATTTCACTGAAATTTGCACATTGCCTTGGAGGGGAGAATTTGACTCATGCATGTCAATTACTAATATAAGTTAGTCAAGCTCTGCAGTAGTTAGAGCTTCTTCAATTTCCAGTAATAGTTCATTTTAAGACATATTTCTCTATCTTTCCTCGTTTTGAATCAATCTTTGAGGCCACTGTGAAAGCACATGTATTAGCTGCAGGAATGGATCATCTCATGTGTAATTTAACATGATCAGGTCATGTGAGACAATCTTAATCATTCATCTTTTTGTCGCTCCTTATTCCAACATTAGCTGAATGAATGAAACAAACTGTTGTGACTTAAACATCAATGATTAGACCCAGCAGTTCTTTAATCTTTTGCGAAAAATCTTTTTTATTCAAAAAAAAAAATCATTTGGTGTCTTAGTGTCAGAAACCATCAATTTGTTTTTAGTAATTCTTCTTCTTCCTTTTCTTAGCACAACTTAATGAAATAGTAAAGTTTCTTTTTCTATACCTTATCAAAAGCTAAGATGCAAATCATATATTTCTTCTTTCAATATTTAAAAACACTGAAAGGGCATAATACAAGCACATTATCCGTCCAACAACAATATAACACACACCACTGCTTAACAAAAAGGTTGGAAGCTCTGATAAACCATATCCTTGCTGTTAAACCTCTGTCTTTGAATCTAAATAGTATAGGTCGGCTGGAAAGTAAGATTTTCCCATTACCCTGTGGACCTACCAGCATAAGATGAGAATTTATGTTTTTCCCATGGTCCAAGGAGACCAATCCTGTACTTTTATTAAGAGTAACTTTTGGATTTCATTATTTTGTCTCAAAAACCTGCTAGCAATTTTTACTTTGAATATGCTAGCAAGGTTTTCCTTCAACCCCACACTCGCTAGTCGAGTTTAACGGGGAGTGATTTTTTTTTTTTTATATGCTAGCTAGGTTACAGAGTAGCACTTGCATGCTTGGAATCTTTGGCAAAATCATGGGAAATATGTGCGCAATTATCATGGTTGACTAGTTCAGGTTTTCTTTATGGTTAGCACTTAGGAGGATAGCGCATGCAACACTTGATGTTCATGGAACTTTTGTATATCTTCTATGCATTATTTTATCTCATCATCAAGATGTCGGTTTTTGTCTGTTTCTTATGTCTGGAAATTGGTCGTTTGTACTTGAATTTTTTTTTTTCTTTTTGGCAAGTAATTGAGAGCCACTTTATCATCTTGGATTCTTCAGTCTCCTTTAAGTCATTTTTATAACTTTTTCACTTGGTGTTATTGGATCATGTGAGGATTCATCTGAGGTCTGATACTTTCAGACTTGTATATACTCATCTAGCATCTTGCTAATGATAATTTATGCGGTAGACTGCTTTTTAACTTGTTAGAGTCTTTCTCTTCCCCCAAGTTATCATTGTTGGTAGACTACTTCACTATCTGATTCTATGTCACGGTATTGAATCTTTCACAGACCCCGGCATTCTAATGCACTAATGGTGAAGTGAATACTGGTGATTAGATTTTTAACAGTGCTCACGAAATGGTTGTAGGCTTGTAGCTGAGGAATAAAATAACTTGATATGATAAATGTAAGAGTAGATTCGGTAGAACTGATAAGAATGATATTGTAAGTTGTAACCTTGTTTTTTTGACACATATGCTGCAACCTCTTACTTACAGTTCATTGGGGATGTGCAAGCGATGTGGCAATCTGAGGAGATTGGCTTGCTCTAGATGTAAAGGAACCGGGTCAGTCAAAGAAGGGGGAATATTTGGTGTTAACCTTATAGACGATTTGTATGAAACACTAGGTAATCGTGAATCAAAGGTGAAGCAGATAGCCTGTGTAAAATGTCAAGCCAAAGGTTACTTTTCATGTCCTGATTGTTCTAAACAATAATCAGTGTGGTTTTATCTTCTCTGCATTGTGACCATAAATCCTCTTAGATGGTGGTATGTAACAGCAGTTTATCTACTGCACATGTGAATTGGCTTTATGCCTTATTGCAAGAACAAATATACTCAGAATACTGCTTGTTTGCCAGGATTCCTGGTATGTTTTGTCTCTCAGTTGTTTCCATTTGACTTCATTATGGACCTTATTTGATAAGTTTTGAACCCAGTTCTTTCCATGTTAATTCTAGCATACCACGAGGTCATATTTATTTCTTTCTAGGAAACACACCATTGATGCATTTGTGGGGTCACTGGACCACTATAACAAGTAGAGAAATGATAATCTTAGAGGAGCAACCCTATATGAATAATACTCCAAAGTAATAAAAGAGTTAATAGATGTCTAGAGTCATATTGAATTGCATGTGAATTTGTATAGGAAAGTTTTGATGTATCCCTAAACAGAGTAAGAGATAAGTTTCATGGTGCATAAATGGGTGAGTTTCTGTAAGGGTCTTCTTTTGAATTTAAAAAAAAAGAAAAAGTGAACCTTGTAGCATTAATATATCTTCTCATATTTAGCCTCACCTTATCAAGTCACTTTTGACACTGAATGTCAAATTCGGTATAATATATATATGGGTAAAATGTGTGTCATTTTAAAGGATGTAAAATTTTATCATTTCAAGAGAGAGAAAGAGATAGATAAAGGAGGAGAGAGAGTTAACAAAAAAAATAAAGGTGTGGGTCCTACCTCTTTGTGAGAGTGAAAAGATATAAGTTGTGTCATTTAAAAGGATAAACATTTTTTCCTATATATATATGAAAAATGTATTTGTCATGTTACATAACAAATGAATATTTATTATGTTAGGAAAAAGACAAGTTATATAATATTAAAGAAAATGATATGGCACAATTATTCAATGAATTAGTCTTGTCTTTTCTTAACATAACAACTATTCATTTGTCATGTAACATGACAAATGCATTTCTCTCTCTCTCTCTCTCTATATATATATATATATATATATATAGGGTCAGGATCATTTTACACCAGTATAAGTTATAGTCAAGATTGAGTGTAAGACTTCTAACTTTTACACCGGTGTAAGAATATTCTGCTATATATATATATATATATATATATATATATATATATATATATAGGGATAAACATTTCTACAGCCACTTTAGATAAGGTTATCTACAGCTACATCAAAAACTACATCGTTTTGATTAATGAAGGGTGTTTATGTAATTTTAGGTTAATTAATGAAGAGTGTTTCTGTAATTTTGCTTATTTTTTTATCATATATATTTGACTGAAATACCCTTCATTAATTAACCTAAAATTACAGAAACACCCTTCATTAATCAAAATGACGTAGTTTTTGGAGTAGCTATATATAACTTTATCTAAAGTGGTTGTAGAAATATTTTTCGATATATATATATATATATATATATATATATATATATATATATATATATATATATATATATATATATATATATATATAGGGCTTATCATTTCTCAAGTTGCTTGAGATAATTTTATCCCCGGCTACTTAATCATAATCGTACAAAAATGGATCAACGGTGATAAAGGATGAGAGAGAAAAAGGGAATCATAACCATTCAAAGGTGAATCAATTAATATAAGGAAATAAATAAATAAAACGACGTAGTTTTGGAGTAGCCGGAGATAAACTTATCTCAAGCTGCTTGAGAAATGTTTTTCTCATATAAATATATATATATATGACAAGAAATACTTCAATCTATGCAGAAAATGTCCCAAAAGAAGGGTTTATAAAGGTGACTTAGAGAAGCCTTGTAGATGGAAGTTTATCTAGAGGCTGAGAGAAGGAAGCAATGGACCTAAACTTTCATATTGATGTTTACAAACTACTTAATGCTATTTGCGGAACATGACGAAATGACAGGTCAACTAGTCAGCAATAAGAAAATGACCAAATGTTTTCCTGAAAGTATTGAACCAGGAATGAGAGAAACTTTGACGTAAAGGAACAACTTTGTGAATATGGTGTTTAAAGGCAGCATGGTAGTGTGATAAACTCTCTTTTTTAGCATGTTGTGAATAAGGTACAATCAAGACTAAGAATCATGCATCATGGAGGCCTATTATTTGCTCCATAAGAATCATGAATACTGATGCATTTTGATCTAAGTTTTCCAGGGTGTTTTGATTAAGGAACACAAATTGCCTATGGGTTCAAATCCTGAGGAGTAAGAATGGAAGTGGCATGAATTGGACAGAATCATAATGGGTATAGAGTATAGAAGCGAACTCAAGACTAAGTAGTTAAGCTTTGGCCTTTCATTCAAAAAAATAATTCTGTGAGAAATTGTTGATGATTAGTAGATTTTGTTCTGGAAAGATTCTTGGGTTGGTTCTGAAGGCCCATTACTTTATCGACTTTGTAATATTCCTAATTTGGATTATCAAAACAATCTTTAGTCGCTGACTACATTAATGTAATTGGGCATTGGAATATGGTACATTTTTCAGTGTTACTCCTTAGTGAAATATTTCATAAGATACAAACAACTATTCTCCCCATTGCCATCATGCACAAGATCATATCGTTAACTTGTACTAAGACAAAGGTAATTTCTCAATTAAGAGTTCTGAATATGATCTCAGAGTTTAACATGTACAAAATAGGGAGAATATAATTTGGGACTAGGGTATAAATAGGTTAGACTTTGGCTTAAATAGACTAGACTTGTATAAAAAATATTGGGTTTGGCCTGAGCTGTTAGCTTGTGTAGGCCCCAAATTATAAGTCTGGTCAGACCTATATTTAAAAAATAAAAACCTTGGTCTAGGCATGTTTAAGCCTATTAAACATTCAACAATTAAAAGAATAACTAAAATAATATTACTTTATTATTCAAAATTATTAAAATAATAATTTTATTTATTTTATTTAAAATAAATAATATGATATAATATAGGCCGGCTTGTAGGCTTATAGGCTCGATATATATAAAAAAATCTATGGCCTATTTTTTAAATATGTTTTTTTAAAAACCTAGGCCTATTCTATTTTACTATTTATATTAGGCCAAGTCTAACTTAATATAGGCTAGACCGTAGGTCCCTGTAAACCGATCTAACTTATTTACACCCATATTTGGTACAAGATACGGTACACGATCGGTGCTTATTGAACTCAAGTCTTTATGTGGCAAGCTGCACAAGGAAGATTGTTGGCTCTTTCAATATTACATTTATTAGTCCTATATGGTATAAATTATTAACAGGCTGTCTTGGAATAGGGATCTAATGAGATTAGTCCTATAATATTATTAGTCCTATAATAGGGATCTAATGTGGTTTCAGGAACTTCTCTGAAACCACACCCCGTGTACTATGAGATTACCGGGGAGCAGGCAAGACCTCCAAATAAAGAACAGTCTAATGCTATAAAACTTCTGTTATGCGTAGGGACTAAGGGTTAGACATACTATGCGGCTATATAATAAAATTATTCATATACCTTTATGCAATAGCTTAAATTTTTTCGAAAGTTGATTGCGTCATTGCTGCCTCTATTTTATAATAAAAATAAGTTAAATTTCTACACTAGGTTAACTAAAAGTGGACCAGCCTATTATTCATGTTTTAAAAGTTCAAAGAGTTCGGGCATGTCAAGAGATATAATAACATCATTCGTATGCCATCACCCAACGACTCAAGTTAATTTTGAGAAGATTGATTGTGTGACAAGTATGTAAAGAATCACCTCGACCCAAAATCTTATATAACAGAAAAATATTTTTGCAGTTACTGCAGATAAGTTATTTGCATTTATAACTAAAATGACGTCATTTTGGTTATTAAAAGATTAAAAAATTATAATTATAAAGACTATAATAACCCTGAAATAAATTAAAATTACAAAAATACCATGATTTTCGTTCCAAAATGACGTTGTATTGGACTTACTACAGATAGTTTATCTGCAGTGACCGCAGAAAAAATGAACATTTTAAATAATTCTCTAACACACCCCCTCATGCAAGAGCCATTTGGGCTTGAAGCGTGGATATGGCACATGCCTAATTTTTTATTTACCTTTTGTGCTTTTTTTATATTTAATTCCACAAGTGAAAGACGATGAGAATCGAACTCGTGACCTTATAGTCACTGAAGTTTTGATAGCATATAAAGAACCACTTCAACTCAAAATAATTCCCAAACAAAATAATATTGTGCAAATGTTGATTACATGAATTGAATGCATAACTTCAGAGTCATATGATGACTGTTTGACCATTCCGGGATGCTGGATGATATTTTTGCATATCTAATACATCCCTAAAGTTATTTTCCGATAGGGGCATTTAATTTCGTAGACTAGCCTCACGAAATTTATTGATATTATTTTAAGGGTTAATTGCTTTAAATGACTAAGATCGTGTCACATGTCGTGCTTCGTGAGTTCCGTCAAAAATCCCTATAGAACTTGAAGCGAGAACTTAAAAAAAAATTAATAAAATATATAAAAGTAGTTTCGCATGAACCCGTCCGCAGAACTAAATGTCCCCCGCTAGAAAATGATTTTGAGAACAGACCAAATACCAAACGTGTAAAATATGCACCAAATAGTCAAATAGCCGTCATATGACACAATACCAACATCAATTTTTTAAGATTCCTTTTGCAAGACCTCTACATGTGGTATAATTGTGTTCTATAAAAGCTATATAATTGAATTTGGTTAAAATTATTTGAATAATTGGACTGTGGACCTAGGGAAGTGACCTTTGTGGTAGTGTGTTGGCCGATAATGGGGAGAAGATGCTGTTCCTTTATCAATTATCATAGCACTATGGAAGTCCTCAGCGATTCCCTAGTTGTGGTAATTATGCAAAGACAGAGACTTGCATATTGCAAGGTATATAAGCATCTCATCTGAAGAAACAAAAATTGGTTTTCTCAAACTTGGGAGCTTCATATATTATGCTCACCTATAAATAAAAAAAAGGCAAGGTTGTTCATAAACATATGCATGAATAAAAAATATTATATTCATTCTTAATTATTGATTCACTAATATTTAAAGATTCATATAACTTAAAAAAAAAATAGAACTATTACATATAAGTGAGATAAATTATTGCACAGAAGAATCCTAGTTTCTTATACCCAATAGGCTTGGGGTGTTTGGTAGTGTTTGGTAGTGTTTGGTTGAAGGTGTATTTTAGGATTGATGGGAAAGTGTAAGTGGATATTGGAAAATATCACGTTTGGTTCATGTTTTTTCAAAAAATACCAGGCAAAAAGGATAGATGGGAAAATGACTTTTGTGTTGATTTTTGGATGAAATTCACTGTTACAGAATATCACTTGAGATGTGGTATTTTGAGATAACTGGGGAAGTGAAAAAACAGGTGCAAAGTTTCTCCCGAACATAGATTTTGCATATTTAAATAAATTTTCCTGGTAATATTTGAGTCAACCAAACAACTTTTTTTACATTTTCTTATCAAACTCATTTTTCAACCATTTTCCTATCAATTATATTTCTCTAGTAAAAAAAAAAATCTCCCGAACCAAACACTACCTAAGAGTTTTCTTTTGGGATTGCTGGAGAAGTGTGAGTAGATATATAAAAATATTATGTTTGGTACAAATTTAAAAAAATTAATTCGATAAAATAAGTTGCCTAAGATTTGTCATTTGTGTGCATTTTGTGATGAAAATTACTGTTTCAAAATACAACTTCTAATGTGGTATTTTGGGGCATTACCGGCTAAGTGAAGAAATTTAACTCATTTTTTCATCAATATTTTACCTTCAATCAAATATAGACTTAGGAAATTTAATCTAATTTTTTCGGTAATATTTTGGTCTACCAAATAATTTTTTTTTTTTAACTTTCCTACCAAACTCATTTTTTCACTATATTCCTTATAATTGTATTTTCATAGTATAAAAAAAAAATTATCTACCAAAGGCGAATTTTTGTTTCCCCATCATTAACAGAGAAATTTGAACCAATACAAAACTAGAAGCTGATTTACGGCGTATCGCAGATTGAATGTATATAATCTTTACCTTCAACTCTTGCCATTTGAGCTATGATCGAGTCACGCCACATCTCAATTTCATTTAACCTAAAATGACAGTCAAAAGAAAGAAAGAAAGTCTATAGCACACGCATGCCAAAGGCAAAAAAGGCTAATAGATGTTACACAATTATAAAATTAAGAGAACAAAAAATGTATATTAGATTCTTTCCATAGAAATATCCGTTAAAGTTCAAGCATAGAGTAAATCTTTCATTTCAAAATTCGGGAATGTTTAAGTAAAAGAAGATCATATCAATAAAATTGACTAGAAATACTTGTAGTCTTCAATCAAGTAATTAATTTGACTTCAAGAAAGTGAAGAATATTATAAATACATTCTCTAACAATTTTTTTTTAACATTATCTTATGATTGAATATAATTCCATACAAATTTCATTAATAAAGAATAAATAATTTCATATTAAATAAAGATACTACTCAAATTAATTTTGACTTTCAATGGTGATTGGACATTGTCAGTTTTTGAATCCCCCAATGTCACAGCACTGTTACTCTAGTTTTACTGTTTTACTTTTCATGGCACGCGTCCAAAGCAAGATCACCAAGGGAAATCCAATGGCCCTGTGTTCCCGATCTCTCAATTCGACACGTGTTCTCAAGGACAAGTGCAGGGTTTTCCATCAATCAACTTTGCGTCACCTGGTACTGTTCTAATACCCAATCAAAGATTGACACGTTTCCATGTCACTGTTCCTTTCTTTCTTTTGATTTTTTGGGGGTACCAGTTCATTGATAAACCC